CCTTCCCCTGTTTGTGCTCTGTCTTTCTCTCTCTCAAAAATAAACATTAAAAATTTTTTTTAAATGGTTCTTTCTGTATCTAAGAAAGAAAAAAACCCCCAAACTCCACAACATAATCAAAAACATAAGCAAAGAAAATGAACAAGCAAATAAGAAACAACCCAAATAGAGGTAGATCCAGTTTCCCCTATAACTGAAACTTTGCAGTACACTGTGATCTTTAGACTAAGTGGATGGAAAGGGTTTTTTCTGGTCTTCTGGGGGAGGGGCCTACTGCTGTTTCTCAGGCCAACTTGCCCTAGTGGAGATGTGCCTGGAGAGTGCAGGTGGGTAGGGATTGTAACAGCTCCGTTCTCCATTTTATGGTACTGCTTAGCTCACTGGGGTTGATCACTGCAGTTCAGCTGGGGGTGAAAATGGCTTCACCCCACTGTCTAATCTCTATAGTGAGAATTTTGCACCTTCACAGGTGTGTGATCAATCACTCCTCTTTCGTCTCAGGCTTCCATCCTCTCCCCACCTTTACTCTCCTATCCAAGCTGCTCTCTTGCCAGGTGGCACCTCCCTCCAGAGTTTTATCTCAGATGGGGCTGCGTTTCAAAACCCTACACTTCAGAGACCCACGTGGCTCAGACCCATGCTGATCCTCTGGGGGAGGGTCTTGCTGAACAATTGCCAGGTATTGATTGTCCCAAAAAACATTTGCAGGAGACCACACAGCAGCAGAGGCTCAAAGTTTATGGTAAATCCCAACACATAGCTATTGCCAGGGTTTGTTGCCCTTAGCTAGTGTCTTTGTTCTGATATCAGTAAACATGGCAGCTCTCTGGGGCCTGCTGAGACTTTTGCCTGTGGAGAGGCCATATTGCCTCTACCAAATGCACTCCAAGTAGTGGAACCCTCTCTCCCTGTGTGGCACATGGACCCCTTAGACCACACTACCTGCTCCTTGGGGATTCACCCTGCTTCCTCACCAGAGCACTACTAGGCACTGAGCTCTGAAACTTCAGATTCTGCACTCCGCTGTGTGTGTGGGTATGTTTTTTTTTTTATGTTTATTTATTTTTGAGATATAGTGTGAGCAGAGGAAGGGCAGAGAGAGGGAGAGAGAGAGAGAGAAAGACAGAATCCAAAGCAGGCTCCAGGCTCTGAGCTGTCAGCACAGAGTCCATCACAGGGTTCAAACCCTCAGACTGTGAGATCCTGATCTGAGCCAAAGTCGGATGCTTAACCGACTGAGCCACCCAGGCACCTCTGTACTCCACTATTTATAGAAAACTGTTGGTGTTGAAACCCTCTCCTTTTTCCCTGTCAGTGGTTTTGGGAAACAAATTTCTTCTTGTCCAGTTCCCTGTGAGTGTTTTCACTCTCTCTCTCTCTCTCTCTCTCTGTCTCTCCCTTTAGCTACTTTCAGGGGAAATGCTTTTCTTGCATGATTCCAACACACTGCACTGTCTCCCCCTTCTCTCTCTGTCCTCTATCTGTGAAAATGGCTCCCTAATCTCTGTGGTGCCACGGCTTTTCTCTCTCCCAATTCACCTCTCTACACCATATACCTGCCTAGATCTCTCGCTCAGATTATGCAGATTGTCATGTTCATCCTCAGTTTAATTTCCTAGGTGTCCAAAATGGTTTGGTGTTGATCTAGCAGTTTTTCTGGGAGGAGACAAGCTCCAGATCCCCATACTATGCTGCCATCTTAACTCTTTTTATTCAGAATTTTAACGTAAAATGAAACTTTTTAGAATATCTTAAATATAAACACACCAAGAGAGATTATCTTTTTTTTCTGAATGCTTTTTACTGAATCTATTACCATATTGACAGTAGATCTTGCCAAAGCTATTGGAAGATTTGAGTATAGGTTTTCAGTATTCTTAATACTTTCTTTTGAAAAATAATTAAAATAGATAGCAATAATTGACATTTATTGATCAGTACATGGTTATGATGTAGCAGGCACTATATCCAGCACTTTGTTTACATTAAATTATTTCAGGCTTGTAGTAGGCAAAGAAGGCAGGTGTTATATCTATTTTCAGATGAGTAAATTAAGGTATATAGCAGTTAAGTAAATAAAGCAACTCTACGAATGTCACACACACACACACACACACACACACACAGCTAGAAAATGGCAAAGTGAAGACTCAAATATCAGACTGTCTGACTCCCTAGATCCATCTACCTAGTCTAATGTCATACTGTAGAACTTCCTGCATAGGTTAAGAATAGCTTGTCAATATTGAACCAAACCATCTTTGTTTGCCATTGCATAGAAGATTCTCCCCAGAAGAGAAGAACGTCCTCTTTATTGTTCCTTAATTTTAGCCTTGGACTTGGATGGTAGCCTACATGACTTTTAGATTTTAGTCTATTTTATGACCTAGTAGTTGAAGGAACAAACAGTTTATTTTTTAAAAACTAAAACTGTTCAAGGGATATTTCATTTCTATCTTTATTTTTCATCGTTTTTTTCCTATGAAATTTCTTTTCATGGAGAGCTTTTCTCAAGAGTTCCAAAAATTATAATAACATTAAAATATGCTATTTATTAGAAAGTTTGGCATGTACAAAGCATAAGAGACTCTTAAAAACTGAGAACAAACTGAGGGTTGATGGGGGGTGGGAGGAAGGGGAGGGTAGGTGGTGGGTATTGAGGAGGGCACCTTTTGGGATGAGCACTGGGTGTTGTATGGAAACCAATTTGACAATAAATTTCATATATTAAAAAAGAAAAAAAAATTTTGGCATGTATACTCATTAAAAGATCTAGGAGATTTTTTTTTTTAAAGCAGAACATTTCTGAGCCATTTCTTTTTCTGTCTATTTCATTCTCCCCACTACCACCCCTCCCCTCAATTAAGAAATCAAAGGTTTTCAGTGATCTTCAGGGATGTAAATGCTAACTAAGTTTTTAAAACTTTGGTCAAATGCCATTCAGGTTTTTAAATGTTATCTGTGAAAGGACAAAGTGTCAATTAGACTAGCACTGCTTTCTTTCCAAAGAATGACAGTATTTTATACCATAAGCCAGCAATCTGTGGTCTATGTGCTTTCTCCAATTTCTCCACAGGAAATTAGATAGTTCTCTAATGCAGCTTTGAATACACTCAGTCAAATATTGAGAGATTTGTCCTTACCTACCAAATCAAATTCAAACTTGTTATACCATACTTCCCAGACCCTTATTTGCCTCTGAGGCTTGACATTTTGAACATCCATTGTTTTGGATTGCTTCAATCTCTAGTCATTTCAGATAGCCTGAATCTCTCGGAGGCACCATACTTATTCACACTTCTGTGATTTTCCCCATGATGTGTTTTTCCTGGCATGCTCTTCCTATCTAGCTCTCTCTTTCTCACCCAAGATATCATGCCAGTGTCAACACCTCCAGAAAACCTTCCTTGAATCTCTGGTTGTTCTTAGTGTCCCTCGTCTGTTTTGGCATAGTCCCCCATGCACACCTCTGGCTTAGCACATACCATATTAAACTGAAATTATCTGCTTAGGGTTTTTGCCTTGAGGATAAGATTGGTCTGGCTCGTTTTTACCCTCCAAGCTCCTTAGCACACTGCCTGAACATAGGAGGTATCATACACAGGCGTTTGCATTAAACTGAACTTCCAGAAGAATGTGGAGGAGGCTCTCGGAATACTATCTCTTTCTAGCATGATACGACACCGCAGTATAGTTCTGGGTTTCGGACCTGTCCTCTCTTGTGAGTGCTTTTTTGGCCCTTAGCAAGAGTTCCATAATTATTCGTTGAGTTACATTTGTATTTCCGTCCTTGTGGTACATATAAATTACCCAGATCTTTGGGCTGCATATTTCGTTGAATGTTGAGAGGGTAACAGAGGTGGCAAACACAGTGGCAGCAACAAATTCAGTCTGTAGGCATGTTTTGTTTGACGAGCTATGAACCAGTGTTTAACAATGTTTTAGCTGAAAAGCCAGATACCCGGTTTAATCTCTTAAAAACTCAAAAGATTGTTTTTGTAACTCAACTTCGCATTCACACATGGCAGCAATTGCCTGGAACTGAGTAGTGGCTGCATGTTTTAGATGGTTTGCAATGGTCCCTACCAATTCTTGGTGAGTCCCTGGCATGCAGGCTGCATGTCAGTTCTGTTTATCTGCATGCATTGTTTTTTTTTGTTGAAGATAAATATTTTTCTGGAAGGGCAGGAGAGCATCGTCGTTCAGGGTGTGGACTAGGGAATTAGATTGCCCGGGGTTCAGATCCCAGCTCTGCCTCTTATTAGCCACTTCTACCTTTGTGACTCTTACAAGTTACTCAGTGTCACTCAATTTCCTTTTCTATAAATTGGAGATAACAATAAACTCACCTCCTAGGGTGGTTGTAGTGATTAAATGAGTTGATATATGTGAATCACATAAACCAAGTCTGGCACATAGTACACACCGTAGGTATTAGCACTATTATTAGTCATGGCTTTAGGAAATGTGGAAAATGAAAACAAGAGAGGGCCCTGTGTTTTAAGAATATACATCTCCAGGGGCGCCTGGTTGGCTCAGTCAGTTAAGTGCCTGAATTTGACTCAGGTCATGGGCTCACTCTTCCTGAATTTGGGCCCCACATCCGGCTGTCTGCTGTGAGCACAGATCCTGCTTCGGATCCTCTGGCCCCCTCCCGGGGGGGGGGGGGGGCCCCCACACACATACTTTCTCTCCCAAAAGTAAATAAATGTAAAAAAGAGAAAGTATGTCTTCAGAGAAATAAGAGAGAAGTTCATTTGTTGGAGCACTCCTTGCTCATTTATGTTCTTGCCTGCGCCTGTAGGAATTTGACCTTGTACCACCTGTGCAGTATGACCCTCATGGGCCCACACTTCAAATTCATTCTTGATTTGCAGTTTAGAAGCATATGCTTTTTTACCCCTTTCATCACAGATGAGAACCAGTATTCCATTTGTAAAGCATGCATGTTGATTTAAAGTTAAAATGCCAATTGTAATTACTGGTACATTTTATTTTAGGGAAACATGCAGAATTCTTGGATTACAACAGGTGAAGATTCTGGGGTGGGTGAAGCTGCCAAGAGACGATTCTCCCGTGGCAATGCGGATATTGTCGTAGGTGCATCTGCTGGGGAAGCTGAAAAATGGAGACTAGAACTGGTGAGAATTTGAGTGCTTTTCTCTTTTGTACTATATTGTGGTAAATATGTATAACATAAGCTTAACACTTTAACCATTTTAAAATTTACCATTTAACAATTTAAGTGTACAACTCATTTGCATTAAATACAATGACAATGTTGTACAGCCATAAACACTATCCATTTCAAGAATTTTTATCATCCCAAACAAAAACCGTTGGGACACCTGGGGTGGCTCAGTCGGTTAAACATCCAACACTTGGTTTCCGCTCAGGTCATGATCTTGTGGTTTCGTGAATTCGAGTCCTAAGTTGGGCTCTGTGCTGGCATTGAGGAATCTGTTTGGGATCCTTTCTCTCTCTCTCTCTCTCGCTCTTGCTCTCTCTCTCTCTGTCTCTCTCTCTCTCTCTGTCCTGCCCTGACTCATGCTTTCTCTGTCTCTCTCAGAATAAATAAATAAAAAATAAAAAACAAAAAATCAAAAAACTATGTACCCATTAAATAAAACTTCCATTCTCTCTCCTAACCCCTGGCAACCTCTTCTACTTTCTGTCTTTATGAATTTGCCTAGTCTAGGTACCTGACATATGCAGAATCAAACAATATTGGTTCTTTTGTGTCTGGCATGTTTCATCGAGCATGTTTTCAGGGTTCATCGGCGCTGTATCATGTAGCAGAATTTCCTTTTTCAGGGTGAGTCATATTCCATTTATGTCTATACCACACTTTGTTTATCCATTCATTTGTTGATTAAAGTTTAGTTTGTTATCACCTTTTGGCTCTTGTGAATGAAGCTGAACATCAGTACACAAGTATCTGTTTTTGCCCCGACTTTCATTTCCCTTGGGTATATAACCAGAAATGGAATTGTTGGATCCTATGGTAATTCTTCACTCTTTTTTCTTTCTGCTCCTCAGACTCCATCATTTCGTCTGTCCTGTCTTCAAGTTTTCTGATTCTTTGTTCTGCTGCTCACATGTGCCCTTCCATACCTTTCGTGAATTTTTCATTTTGGTTATCGTACCTTCCAGCTCTGGGATTTTTGTTTGGTTCCCTTTATACTTTGTTTTCTTACTTTTTTAAAGGTTTTATTTTCATTCCAGTTAGTCGGCACAAAGTGTTATATTAGTTTCAGGTGTACACTGTCTTCCTTACTTCTTGTAGTTCTTTGGACATTGGCCATGTTTCCTTTTAGCTCTTTGGGCGTATTTAAGATTATTGTTTTAAATTATTTTTCTAGTAGGCCTGGTGCCTGTAGATTTTTTTAAGGGTGGTTTCTGTAGATTTATTTGTTTGTTTGTTTGTTTATTATTTATTTATTCTATGCCTCTGAGTAGGTCATATTTTCCTGCTTCTTTGTATGCTTTTGATTTTTTTTTTTTTTTGTGGTTGAAAACTGGACATTGGAATGAACTATTATATTGTGATAACTCTGGAAATCCAATCCCCCATTTTCCCCATGGTTTTCTGCTTCTTTTATTGTTGAAGGTTGTATCGTCTTTTTGTTTCGAGACTTTTCCAATTTAATTTTGTAGACTGTTCCTTGTTGTGTGTGATCGCTGAACTCTGTTTCGTTAGCTCATGTTCTGCTAATGTTTGATAGATTTCCGTGAATGCCAGGAGCTAAAACAAGTAAGCCAACAACCACCAAAACCACACACGCCTAGGAAGCCCAGAAAGAAGAGCCACCTCTGCCAGTCTTTGTGGATTGGTTCTGTGCTGGGGCATTCCTTCCTTCAGCGTGTAGCTGGGCTTGCTCTCAGCCTAGAGATCAGCTGGAGTGAAAGCTTAAGGTCTTCGCAGGCCCGAGCATGTATCTTCCCGGGGAAGGCTTTCTAAATCCCCTCATATACGTAGCTGGTTTTGAATGTCCTCACTTCCCAGAGTCTCAAATAATTTTATTTTCAGATCAAATGATACTTTCAAATCTTTTGATGTTGTAACAGGCCTTTCTTTTTCCTATTGCTTGAAATCTTATTTGCATTAAATTTGATGTGCAGAATTGATCAATGATGATGAAAATGTAAAAATGACACTGTAAATGGAGGACTCCAGGGGGAGATAGGATGGATTATATAGTTCAGCTCTCATTATCGTCTCTAGGTATTATTGTTAGAGTATTCTGAAGGCTCATATGGCTCTAAACTCCCTCTCCTTTCTCAGCCCCTAACCCAAGCTTTATTCTACTATTTTGGAAAGAGTTCTTTTTTTTTTTTTAAACAAAATGAAAGATTACGTAAATTGTATTTTCTTCCCAGCTGAATAATCTATGATAACTATTTAATGCCCACAGGATAAAGACCCATCTCCCAAGCTGTCCACAGTTTGGTTCAAGCTACCTTTCTGGACTCATTTCTGTCAGTCTCCCAAACATTACTGTAGACATACAGACCCCTCACTACTTACTACGTCATAAACTTATTACCCACTTCCATTTATTTAAAAAAAAATTTTTTTTTTAATATTTATTTAGTTTTGGGGGAGAGAGAGAGAGAGAGAGAGAGAGAGCGAGCATGACGGGGGAGGGGGAGAGAGAGAGAGGGAGACACAGAATCTGAAGCAGGCTCCAGGCTCCGAGCTGTCAGCACAGAGCCTGGCACAGAGTTGTGAGATCATGACCTGAGCTGAAGTCAGACACTTAACTGACTGAGCCACCCAGGTGCCCCTACCCACTTCCATTTCTGTTTGCATCACTGGCTGTGGTTTATGCAGATATCCTGACCTAAACTTTCCTTCTTAACTTCTGCCCACCGAAATACTTCCTGCCTACAAGGCTGTGTTCAGATGCCCCCTCCCGTTCTTCCTTCCTTGATTACACACTTCCACTCCTCCTTCTCCCACATTAGAATTCGTTTCTCTCTTGGGGCACCTAGGTGGCTCAGTCGGTTGTGTGTCTCACTCGATTTCAGCACAGGTCATGATCTCACGGTTCGTGGGATCAAGCCCCATCGTTGATCTCTGTGCTGACGGTGCGGAGCCTGCTTGGAATTCTCTGTCTCCCTCTCTTTCCGTCCCTCCCCCGCTCATGCACGTGAGTCCTTGCACTCTCTCTCTCTCAAAATAAATGCATACACTTATAAAAAAGAATTAATGTCTCTCTTACATCTCCTCTTAGTGTCGTGTTTACAATTGCTATAAATTCGTTGGTTATCCAGTCTGTGGCAAACTGCAGTCCCCATGTCTGTGTGCCCTGTGTCCCGATCCTCCTCGCTGTTTCCCAGGGTTTTGCTCTTGTGCTGGTCTCCTCTTGCTCTTGCACCTTTCCTCCCTCTTCACTGGGTTTTTCTCAGCAGAACATGTGCTCCACTAGCTCCCATCTTGAAGCAAGTACAAAATATACTCTCTGGACCCTGTGCTCCCTTCGAACTATCACTCAACGATTGCTCCCCTGCATACCAACACCTTCCCAAACAGTTGTCCACATTCATGTCACCACGTCTCCCCTCCCACTGTCTCTTTAACATGCGTCGGTTGAGCCGATACCTCACGTTGGCCTCAACTTGTTCTTTTCAAGGTCATCAATGACCTGCACCAATCAGTCCTCCTCTTCCTCAACCTTGTGGCAGCATTCTAATTATGATACGTATAATGCTCATGTCATCCCCCTTTACTTGTCTAATGGCCCAATTTAACATACGCTCAGAAAAATGCACAAAACAGGGCGTCTGGGTGGCTCAGTTGGTTAAACATCTGACTCTCGATTTTGGCCCAGGTCACAATCTCACGGTTTGTGGGACTGAGCCCCGTGTTGGGCTATGTGCTCACAGCTTGGGATTCTCTCTCTATCTCTCTCTCTATCTCTGTCTCTCTCTGCTCCTCCCCTCCTTGCACACTCTCTCTCTCTCTTTCAAAATAAATAGATAAAAATTTTAACAGTGCACAAAACAAAAATGTGCAGCTTCATGATTTTGTTCTAATGAGCACCCTCTCTCTCTGTGCCCCCTCCTAGTCACTGCCCCCTCATTCCCTTAGAGCTAATCACTATCTTGACTTTTATGAAAATTGCCGAAGCAAGATCTCTGGACACTCTAGTTGATGTCTACCTGATTTTTTAAACACTGTAAAAATTGGGTCACACAGTATATGATTTTTTGTGTCTGACTTATTTTGTTTGACATTATGTTTGTTAGATTCATACACATTGTTGCATGTGGCAGACATTTGTTCATTTTCAGGGTGGGTCTACTGTGTAAATACACTACAATTCATTTATCCATTCCTCAGTTGATGGGTTTTTGTGTTATTTCCAGTTTGGGGCTATTGTAAATGTTGCTGCTATGGACTAACTCTTTCTTTCTTTCTTTCTTTCTTTCTTTCTTTCTTTCTTTCTTTCTTTCTTTCATTTTTGCTCTTTTTTCTTTCTTTCTTTCTTTCTTTCTTTCTTTCTTTCTTTCTTTCTTCCTTTCTTCCTTTCTTCCTTTCTTTCTTTTCTTTCCTTATTTCTATCTATCTATACATCCATCCATCTATTTTATTTTATTTATTTTTAAAAAAATTTTTTAACATTTATTTATTTTTGAGACAGAGAGAGACAGAGCATGAATGGGGGAGGGTCAGAGAGAGAAAGAGACACAGAATCCGAAACAGGCTCCAGGCTCTGAGCTGTTAGCACAAAGCCTGATGCGGGGCTTGAACTCACGGACCGCGAGATCATGACCTGAGCTGAAGTCGGACTCTCAACCGACTGAGCCACCCAGGCGCCCCTCCATCTCTCTATTTTAGAGAGAGGGAGAGTAAGAGAGAGAGAGAGTATGAGCAGGGGAGGGACAGAGGGAGAGAGAAAGAGAATCTTACTTATTTAAAATTTTTTATTAGAGAGAGCGTGTGCAAGCAAGAGAGGGGCAGGAGAGAGAGAGAGAGAGAGAGAGAGAGAGAGAGACAGAATCTTAAGCAGGCTTCACACTCATCACGGAGCTGGAGGCGGGGCTCGACCCCACAATCATGGCGTCATGACTTGAGCCAAAATCAAAAGTCAGATGTTCAACCGGCTGAGCCACTCAAGGCATCCCTGAACATTCTTTAAGATTGGTCTATTGGCGTACATGGCACACATTTATGTCAGGTGTATATCTTGGAGTGGAATTATTGGTCTTAGGGGTATATAGCTGTTCAAACTGAGTGGTTAAGTTGAGCTTTGGGGTGGTTTTTATCAGTTTACACTTCTACAGCAGCATAGGAGTGATGCCTTTGCTCCATATCCCCCCAACACGTTGTATTGTCAGTTTTTCTGGTGGGCTTGTAGTGCTATGTCCTTGTGGTTTTCATCTGCATTTCCCTGATTACGCATGAGATTGAATACTTTTCACGTACTTATTGGTGTGCTCCTCTTGTGAGGTGCATGTTCAATACCTACTCATTATTTTGAGTTATCTGACATTGTTTTTTTGAACTTCTTTATGTATTCTGGATACAAGCCCTTTGTTGGTTCTATCTGTTGTAAATATATTTTCCCACTCTGTGGCTTGCCTTATAATTGTCTTGATAGTTTTATTTCTTTCTCTTGCTTTCTATTTTTTTCATTCCTTCCTTCATGACTAAAATTTCTTAATTTTAATGTCATCCCCTTTATTGTTTAGTGCTTTCTGTGTCCTATTTAAAAGAATGAAATCTTTTCATTTGTAACTATGTGGCTGGAACTAGAGTGTATTATGCTAAGCGAAATTAGAGAAAGACAAATACCATATGACTTCACTCATATGAGGAGTTTAAGACACAAAATAGGTGGACACAAGGGAAGGGAAGGAAAAATAATATAAAAACAGGGAGGAAAACAAAACATAAGAGACTCTTAAATATGGAGAACAAACTGAGGGTTACTGGAGGGGTTGTGGGAGGTGGGGGGGTGGGCTAAATGGGTAAGGGGCATTAAGGGATCTACTCCTGAAATCCTTGTTGCACTATATGCTAACTAACTTGGATGTAAATTTAAAAATAAAAATAAAAAATAAGGTGAGTTTCTTATAGACAATTTAAAAAAAAATGTATCCCTGCCCCAGATCATGAGGAACTTCTCTAAGATTTTCTTCTGGAAACTTTATAGTCTTGCTTTTAACATTTAAATCTCAATCTACCTGCAATTTAGTTTTGTATTTGATGTAGTGTGTAGGGGATCACCTTTTGCTTTTTCCCATATAGTTGTCTACACACACACACACACACACACACACACACACACATTAACCACTTGTTGAAAAGACAGTCCTTTGTCTGAATCTTTGTCATAAATCAGGTGTACATAGATGTCTGGGCTCTGTTTTTTACTTCCTTGTTCTTTGTGCTACAACCATCCTCTCCTCTCTTGATTGTTACAGCTCTCTATCTGTTAGGGTAGGTATATCTACCTATTAGACTACTTACCACATCTTCCAACGTTGTACTTTGTCCCCAAAAATGTCTTACTTCTGGCCTTTTTTACTTCCAAATACATTTTAGAATTAATTTTTCAAAGTCCGAAAAGCCATTATGAGGTTTTGATTGAGATTGTCTATTTAAAAAAATTTTTTAATGTTTATTTATCTTTGAGAGAGACAGACAGAGTGCAAGCTGGGGGTAGGTAAAGAGAGAGGGAGACACAGAATCCAAAGTGGGCTCCAGGCTCTGAGCTGGCAGCACAGAGCCCGACATGGGGCTTGAACTCAGGAATGGCAAGGTCATGACCTGAGCTGAAGTCAGATGCTTAACCGACTGAGCCACCCAGGCATCCCTTGATTGAGATTGTCTTTAAGCTATAAGTCACTTGGGAGAAAAGATATCTTTATGATATTATATCATCTAATCCATTAAACTTATGTATTACTCTATTTATATAGGACATCTTTAATTTTTGTCAATAACCTTTTACAGTTTTTTTCTTTTTTAAAAAGTTGTTTTATTTATTTTGAGAGAGACAGAGAGTGCAAGTGGGGGAGGGGCAGAGAGAGAGAGAGAGAGAGAGAGAGAGAGAGATTGAGAATCCCAAACAGGCTCCCCACTGTCAGCATGGAGCTTGATGGTTTTGAACTCACAAAACCATGAGATCATGACCTGAGCCAAAACCGAGAGTTGGACACTTAACTGACTGAGCCACCCAGGCTCCCCACCCCCCAGGATCATTTTTAATGTTATTTTTCTCCCCAGTTATCTATTCAGTTATAAAATTCTGTCAATTTCAGTTTTTATATAGCTCCAGACTAAATTCTTTCTTTTCTCTTCTTACTGTGTGATTACTCTTGTTTGTGTGTATATCTCTTCCTGATGTAATTGTAATGCACTTCCTCATTGGTCTTTGTTTTCCCACACTTCAGAGTGACTTAAGAATCAAATCTGATAGAGTTTTCAGTGTTCACCCAATGCCTCTACTACATGGAGACTACACGAGTTGTCTGGGTAAAGGTCTTGCGTATTTATTCTCCTCATGGCACATTCTCACCTGTTCCACCCATCTCTATCCATTCTTCCACCTTGCATTTTATTTGTAGGGATACAGATCTGCTTACCACCCAAATATTCAGCATGTTTTCTCTCTGTGCCTTTTGCTCTGTTGGAAATTAATCCTTTATGTGTTAGCACTTCCTCCATGAAGTCTTCTCTACCCCTCTTAAGCTGAATTACAAGTTCCCACCTCTGTGATATCCGTTTACCTTCTATATGCCTCATTGGAGTGAATTATGTATAATTGAAATTGTCCATGTGTTTTTCTTTTTCTTGTTTTTAATTTATATTTTTTAGAGAGAGAGTATGAGTATGCATGAGTGGGGGAAGGGCAGAGGGAGAGAGAGAAAGAAAGAAAAGAAAGAAAGAAAAGAAAAGGAGGAATGAAGAAAGGAAGAATCTTAAGCAGGCTCCATGCTCAGCACGGACCCTGACACGGGGCTCGATCTCCTGATCCTGGGATCATTACCTGAGCCAAAATCAAAAGTCAGATGCTCAACCTACTGAGCCACCCAGGCACCCCCATCCATGTGTTTTCTATTCTGTACTAGATGATTAGCTCCTTAAGGTTAAAGGCGTCTTCATCTTAGGGTACCCCCAAAAATGTTTGCTGAACGAGAGAATAGTGGGACACCAACAGACCCTTGTAGCCAGGATATTAGTTTGGTCTGTCATTTATTGTGATTCATAACTTTGCTTTTATCATTCATCCAACACACATTTATTGTATGTCTATATGCAGCAATCACAGTGGGGGATTCTAGTAAGATCTGATCCTTGCCCTCACAGACCTTACAGGTTATAATCAGTTTTTCCCAGAGTCACCCTTTTGTTTATTTATTTATTCATTCTCAGTCACACTTTTAAAATTAAGACCTGATGAATGCATTTTTCAAAAAAAAAATTGGGGGGGTGGCAGTGTTACCCATTTTATGACTCGATAGTTCTTTGCAGGTATATAGTCAATAAAATACAAAATTTGGGGTGGACTAGGGAAAATGTTTTTTAATTTTTTTAAATTTTCCTCCTGGGTAAAAGGAAAAAAAATTGAGTTTAATATGAATAATGAAACCTTGTTTGTAAAGCACGGGACATAGAGAAAATATACATTTTTTGTTTTTTAAAGGAGAGGCTGAAACTTACTTATGAAGAAAAGACTGAAGTCCTAGAATCTCAATTGAAATTTTTAAGGTAAAGTATCATTGTCCATTTAAAATAATCATAGCAAAAGCATAATGATCTTTCAAATATATTTGAATGTTTGATGACCTGCCAGTCTTACTCAATATAAGAATTACTTGATGACATTTTATGTGTACATAAGAAATATCCTCAGGTTATTAAAGGATAAGGGGGCATAAAATTGTGAAGGCCTTTTCCAAATCACATGTCAAAGAACTATGAGCTAAATTACAAATTTTATGCCTTCATCGGTTATGAAATATTTGTGTTTTCTTATACAAATAAGAAACACTAGCTGCTCTGATAGAAACCATGCTTTTAAAATAAAATACTGAAAATAAAGCATTCTTCTAGTTTTAAAATTACGTGAAAGTGTTTTTTCTCTATAGGTGTTTGTATCTAATTTTTAAAATTGTAACAATAATAGTTTGAGTATTTTTCTATACGTGATGAATATGAGAACGTATCCACCGCCTTCTCCATGGGGGATACATTCCAAGACTCCCAGTGGATGCCTGAGACTGGTCAGTACTGAACTCTGTACATATTGGTTTTTTTCTGTACATACATACCTGCGATAAAGTTTAATTTAGTAAGAGATTAGGCACAGTAAGAGATTAACAGCAATAACTCATAATAAAATAGAACAGCCATAACAGTGTACCGTAATAACCGTTAAGCGAATGTGGTCTTTCAAAATATCTTATTGTCCTTCTTGTGATGATGTGAGATCTAAAATGCCTGTGTGATGCAATGAAGGGGTGAAGGATGTAGGTGTTGTGAAGCAGCCTAGGCTACTACTGACCTTCTGATGATCTGTCTGGAGGATCATCTGCTCTGGACCTCGGTTGACGGTGGGAAACTAAGCTGTGGAAAGTGAAACTGGATAAGAAAGAGACTGCTTTTTTTTTTTTTTTTAATTTATTTTTGAGAGGCAGAGAGAGACAGAATGTGAGTCAGGGAGGGGCAGAGAGAGAGGGAGACACAGAATCTGAAGCAGGCTCCAGGCTCCGAGCTGTCAGCACAGAGCCCGATGCGGGGCTCGAACTCACGGACCTCGAGATCATGACCTGAGCTGAAGTCAGACACTTAACCATCTGAGCCACCCAGGCGCCCTGAGACTTCTTTATATATAATAAGTTTTCATGTAATTTTTGACATGTTTTTTTAAAAAAATCCCAATAAAACTTATATATGATAGATTAACCATCAGTGATTTATTATGTGTTATGTGTAGAAAAAGTAACAGGAATTGATTTTTTTGTGCATTGCAGCTTATTTTAAATAGCAGTAATGAAATATATTTCAATCAAAATTTAAAATACTTTTTATAATTTTAATAAGTCTAATTTTAAATAAAATTTAAGATTTTCAGGCCATGTATTGTTTGGAGATGTAAGTAGAGTGATACTAAGAACCAGAGCGCCTGGCTTTTAAGCACACTATCATTCATTTATTTTAATACGCTTTTATGTGTATTAAACCTTTAAACCTTATCCTGATCTCTATGTATATACCTACTTCTATAGATATTTTTGTTTCATGAAGAAACCTAATATTTTTTAAATGGCCTAATTTTTGCATTCTTGCTCTTTATCTTGCTTTATTATATTTTGATGTCTAGTGTATTGTGTCTTCAGTTTTAAAAAAATTCTTAACATTTATTTATTTATTTTGAGAGAGAGAGAGAGCAGGGGAATGGCAGAGAGAGAGGGGGACAGAGGATCTGAAGCAGGCTCTGTGCTGAGAGCAGAGAGCCCAATGTGGGGCTTGAACCCAAGAACTGCGAGATGATGTCCTGAGCTGAAGTCAAGACACTTAAGTGACTGAGCCACCCAGGCACCCCAAGTCTCCAGTGTTTAAATTAATATATTTCTAGGTTACTATACTATGGAAATGTGACTTCTGTTGTTTCATTCAGAAGTCAAATATGCCATAGTTAATTACATTGAAATACTACTTTGTAATGACTTTCTTCCCTGCATCTTTGTTTTTTTTTTTTTTTGTCTTTTCCTTTAGTGTAACTTAAGAGTACTTAAAGAGTCATTTTCTTTCAGAAAGAGATAAAACCACCACTCTCAGAAACTCTACCTTTTTGGTACCTATTTCTTTTTCTTTTTTGGCATTTCAAGTAATCAAATCTACCTCAGTGTTTTGAATCTGAAACTGACAGAAAGAGTAATGCAGACCCTTTGACTTTGGAATGTGCTTCCAAAGTTATTTTTATAAAGCCTTTTGAAAGTCAGACTTTTTCTACATGGAACTTAAACAGAAAACTAAGTGTGTTGGAAAGAGTATCTTGGGCATGGGACAAAATCAGCTTCTCCTCCCCGACCCCCTCCCCCCCCATCCAGAGATGAGGTAGCATGTGACAGCCAGTGTCATATTGGCTTCCCCTCTGTGACAGCAAGTAAAGGTAGCTACAGCTCCCTGAATTTAATAGAAACTGACAACAGAGAGTTGACACAGACAGAGATCACGTGCCTGCTTTCAGGAGTCCAAGTACTTAAGGGCTATTTTCTCCTTTGTAAGCTAGGAAGTGGGTTTTTTTTTTGTTTTGTTTTGTGTTTTGTTTTGTTTTGTTTTTTATACAGTGGGAAAGTCAGTTCTCCAAGTTGATTTTGCCAAAGCTTTATGAGAAGGGGTGGGGGTAGGAATACAACCCATACATTTTATTCTTAAAACAGTCAGCTTGGAGCAAAACCTTTTCCAGGAACTATCTCATATATTAAAACAAACAAAGTAACTACACACACACACACACACACACACACACACACACACACACATTTCCTCTGTCCTTTCTTTATCGGGCTGCATATTTCCAGTTAATAGCTTATACTTACAAGTCTTATGACTGGTAAATTCTATATAACTTCTTTCTGAAAGACGAGAGGAGCCCACTTTCTTTTGAAATAGCTCTTTATAGAACTTTGTGGTTAGATAATTGTTTTTAAGTTCTTTTTTTTCCTCCTAAGGAAGAACGGGCAATAATAAATTACTCATGGACAAAATCCATGAGCTTTATGTAATCTTTTGAGGTACTCTACAAATTTCAAGGGTTAACACTTGGAATAGGGTATTTCTCTCAATACAAGGATGTTTTGTTATATTGCCTTGCCTCTTTATTAATAAAGAGAAACTGTTGAGGATTTGTATTTGTAGTTTTACTTTTGGTTTGTAGGTAATATAATGCCATGGAGATGGGATCCTTTGAAATGAGAGCCAGTATCAAGAGGTAGACTAATCTGTGTTAAAATCTTACAAGAACTTTGCTTAATTATTTAATATAGTCAAGCCTCATTTTATCCAAAGTGTCAATTAGGATAATCACGCTTACGTTCAGGGTTGTGGTAAGAATTAATGCGTTATATACAGAGCACCTCATAAGGTAAACACCCATCAGCAATAGTAAGAGTTACCACTGTGATGTTCCAGGTGAAAGTAATGTTCCTGGTCATTTTGCTAGAACTTTCTCTCCCTTCTTTTCAGGAAAGACTTAGCTGAATATCAGAAAAATTGTGAAGATCTTAAAGAGCGACTGAAGCATAAAGAGTCTCTCCTCGCTGCGAATACTTCTAACTGGGTTGGTGGCCTGTGTTTGAAATGTGCTCAGCACGAAGCTGTTCTTTCCCAAACCCATAATAATGTTCACGTGCAGACCATTGAAAGACTGACTAAGTAAGTGTGCTTCTCCACATGGAGAATTGCATCTTTAAAGGAGCGCTGTGTCCCTTTATCCCCGTGCTGTCTCACATGCGATTGACCCTGAGCTTCGAGTGAAATGGACTGGAAACGGTCCCTTCAGTAGAGCTTTCTGGAAGACAGAATAGCTGGGTTCTGCCAGGGTTGTGCGATCAGGTCATTTCAGACGAGTGGTCTTACCTCTCTAGGCTTCAGCCTCATCTCGAAGTGAGAGAATGGACGTAAGGAATCTTTACAATTCCCTGCATGTCTCTGAATCTATAACTGCAAATCCAGCACTATTCTTAACAAAACTGAGTTTGTGAGGCTCTCTTTTGATGTTGTCAAGTCCTGGACTTCCGTGCTGTAGTGTAGGTAGAGTGAGTTCTTCTCACGTCTTTGTCTCATGCCTGCAGTGAAGAGTATTACCAGTGCATTGGAAGAAGGACTCCCTATGTCCCAGTATCAATATTTGAAGATCAACTAAGGACAAGTTACAAATGACCTTTCATGTAGTTCATCTAGGCTGAAATATGACAGTTCTCTGTGCATATCCTTTTTGTCCTATTTTCACTATTTCAGGGAGGTGTTTTCCTGTGGAAAGGTTATCCTGCGCACTTGAGAATTTTTATCTACGATACTGTCCGGTGGTGTTGGTTCTTATTCCCTGTGCTCAAGGTCACCCCTGTCTGTTTGAACTCATTTAAATAGCTCAAACAGCACCACCTCTGAGAAGCATTCTCTGGCCAACCTCATCCCACCTGGTCTTCAATTGATTTAGGCTCCTGTCTTCCATGATTTTATAATATGTTGGAGGCAGCACGTGTGATCTGTTTTTGTCTGTACGCCTGGCGTCTAGCAGAGGATCTGGCCTGTGGTAGACGCTCCATGAGTGTTTGCTGCTCGCAGGACCAGGCATTTTGGCCTTTACTGCTCAACAGTCAGAGATCCTACTGTTGGAACGGGCGTGGAGAATGGAAAGACTGGTTCGTTGAAGTCAGACCAGTTTTACTCTATGTTTTGACCTTTGGACAAATTACTTCTCTGCATCTGGTTTGGGGGTTTTACGGGGACGCTTAGCCTTGGGGCCAGAGCACTAGCTTTTGCGTCAGACTGGCTGCTGAGACTAACACTCTATTCTACCACTAACTACCTGTGTAACCTCACGAAAATTACTTAACCTCTCATGCCTCAATTTCCCCATTGTTAAAATGGAGGTAAAAGTACCTAATAGGGTTATTTTGAGGTTTCATTAAAAGAATACCTGGGGCGCCTGGGTGGCGCAGTCGGTTGAGCGTCCGACTTCAGCCAGGTCATGATCTCGCGGTCCGTGAGTTCGAGCCCCGCGTCAGGCTCTGGGCTGATGGCTCAGAGCCTGGAGCCTGTTTCCGATTCTGTGTCTCCCTCTCTCTTTGCCCCTCCCCCGTTCATGCTGTGTCTCTCTCTGTCCCAAAAATAAATAAACGTTCAAAAAAAAAAAAAAAAAAAAGAATACCATACACTGCTTAAGACAGTTCCTACCAGTGATGTGAATAATTCAAAAAACAACAAAAACACACCAAAAAAGCCCAGTTTTTTTATTATTTGGCAGGCCAGATAATAAATGCTCCATAGATATTAAAACTCCTCTGTACCTCTCCTGTTCCAAAAGAATCAAAATGCCATGGTTTCCACACGTGATTAACCTGTTGGTTTTGGATAAAAACTGAATTTCTCCAGTATGGACTGACTGGTAGGTTTTACGATCTCAGCTAATGGTTCTGCTTTTTGTTATATTATATTATTAAATATATTGTTAAGTTATTCTTATAGATTTCACATAACTGTGAAATTTATTAAATATATATTAAATATATTTTCAGATACAACTACCATGTGGTATACGTTTATATATGTCAAGGACTCTGCCAGGCTGTTTAAAAACATAATCTTTTTTTTTTTTTATTTTTTTATTTAAAAAAAATTTTTTTTCAACGTTTTTTATTTATTTTTGGGACAGAGAGAGACAGAGCATGAAAGGGGGAGGGGCAGAGAGAGAGGAAGACACAGAATCGGAAACAGGCTCCAGGCTCTGAGCCATCAGCCCAGAGCCTGATGCGGGGCTCGAACTCACGGACCGTGAGATCGTGACCTGGCTGAAGTCGGACGCTTAACCGACTGCGCCACCCAGGCGCCCCAAACATAATCTTTTTTAATCTTAGTAAAGCATTCATGAGGTAAATATTATTAGCTCCATTTTGTGGCTAGGGAAACTGAGACTCACATAAGTTAAAATTTTTCCTGTTTACTTTTGAAAAAAAGAGACTTGTTTCACAAAAACAAATTCAAGATGGTTTAAAGACCCAGATCTAATTCAGACTATAAAAATATTAAAAGAAAATGTAGAAAATTATTTTCATGGCGTTCAGCTAAAGCCCTGTGCATGGTATGGAAAATGAATGGCATAAAGGAAAAAGGTTATACCTTTAACTTCATTTAAAAAAAAGTGTTTTCCTTTTAAACGTTTATTTATTTTTGAGAGAGAGAGTGTGCATGCGTGCGCTCATGTGGGGGAGGGGAAGAGAGAGAGGAGGACCGAGGCTCTGAAATAGGCTCTGTGCTGACAGCAAAGAACCCAACACGAGCCATGAGATCATGACCTGAGCCAAAGTCAGATGCTTAACCGACTGAGCCACCCAGGCGCCCCCAAAAGAAACTTTTTATGATACAGTAATACAAATTAAAAGACTAGGGAAAATATTTGCATGTTACATAACAAACAGTTGGTATAATGTATAAAGCACATCCTTTGAAACAAACACAGAGGACAAACTACCCAGTGGCAAAGCAGATAAAGAATAGGAATGGTGAGCAATGAAAGAGGAAACTGTCAACGTAGGAGAAGGTATTCACTCTGCTTTCATTCAGGGAAAGACAGATTCTTTTTCAAAACCAACCCATCAAATTGGTGAAAATTAAGGAGATTGATAGTGACAAGTACTGGTGAGGCTATGAGTGAGTAATATTTAAGTTGTGTCTTACATATTTCAACATCACCCCCAAGGAATATGTATATGCAAAATGGAGTAGTTTCGGGGAATGCTTTTACAGTGTTATTTGTAACAGTATTGTGATATTGTGACATGATCAGAAAAACATATTTTGGTATTCATCTCTAGTTCCTGGCATATAGCTCCCAAAATCCTTATAATTTCTTGGGGTGCCTGGTTGGCTCAGTCGGTTGAGCATCCGACTTCAGCTCAGGTCATGATCTCGCAGTCCATGGGTTTGAGCCCCGCATCAGGCTCTGTGCTGACAGCTCAGAGCCTAAAGCCTCCTTTGGATTCTGTGTTTCCCCCTCTTTCTACCCCTCCCTGGCTCATGCTCTGTCTCTCTCTCTCTCTCTCTCAAAAATAAATAAACACTAAAAAAAAAAAAAAAAAAAAATCCTTGTAATTTCCTAAATGGTAAGAACAGAAGGAACATCCTTTGTTTGGATTTTGTCCCTTGCTCCTGAAATAGCTGTGGAACATAAAGGTGAAAGGAACATCTTTCGTTTTTCTTAATAAGCTCCTTTCAACCACACCTGGGTTTATGTTAATAAGATGACTTCTGGAACCCCAGTACGGATGGGTGTGCCGCTTGCCAGGGGAAGCATCCTGGTGAGTAGAGATTACTCCCCAATCTCTGGGAAATGGGCAGGGACTAGAGATTGAGTTCAATCACCAATGAGTAATGTTTTTATCAATCCTATAGAACCCCCTATAGAACCTATAGAACCCCATGAAAACCCTAAACCATGGGATTTGGAGGGCTTCCGGGTTGGGGACCAAGGTGCTGGGAGGGTGGCATGCCCAGAGCGAGCACGGCAGCCCCACGCCCCTTCCCACATACCTTGCCCTGTGCATCCCTTCTATTTATTTACCTGTTAGTGAATTGTATCCTTTATAATGAATGGGAAAGAGTAAGTAAAGCACTTTCCTGAGTTCTGTGAGCTGTCATAGCAAATTATCAAAGCTGAGGAAGGGGTCAGGAGAACCCGTGATTTACGGCCAGTTGTTCAGAAGTACAGGTGACAAGATGGGACTTGAAAGTGGCACCCAAAGCCAGCAGACAGTCTTGTGGGGCTGAGCCTTACCCTGTGGGGTCTGTGCTGACTCCAGGAAATTAATGTCCCCACTGAGCATCAGGGTCAGTGTCAGTATCTGACACCCCCCACATGAGGTGTCAGAAGTGTTGTGAGTATAGAAACTACAGAAGAAACCAAAAGTGTTTCTTTTGGATGTGAATAACTAAATATCCTTCAGAGTTTTGCATCTATTATGTTATGCACAGTAAAAGAAAAAAAGAATGAAATAGATCTAGATGTGCTAATGTGGGACTAAGCTCCACAATAGATTTTTGAAGGAAAAACATAACACACATGTGATACACATGTGATACATGAAAAAGACACATGTGATACAAAACTGTTTGTATTTTTATTTTTGTAAAAGTCCATACACAGCCATACAGTATATTTTCTCCAGGTTCATACATACACATAGAAAAAGGCTTAAAAGGATAAACTCTCAGTACTTAACAGTGATGACCACTGGAGAGGTGGAAGAAGGCACTGAAATTGAAAGTGTGTGTCGAATGGGTCTTTAACCACATTGGTAATGAATTTTTCAGGGAGAATGTAATGAAAAAATTAACTTAAAAAGGGCAAAAAGCATATTCAAAGTCACACAGATGAAGAGAGGCAGAGTTTAAGTAGCCAAGCACAACCAAACCAAAAATTAAAGGCAGGGTTTCTTTCCCTATTGCCTTTCATATTACCCTTGTAGGTCATGAGAAAAGTATTTTAAGAGGAAGCTACAATGTTTACATTGATTTCAAGACTGGCAGTCATTTAGAAATTAGATTCTTAGTTCTGTATTCCTTTGTCTCTATCCTAAATTTCAGCTCTTAGCCTTTTAAAATAAATGTCAGCCTTCTCCGTTCAATTTTCTGCTTTGTCAGCACATCATTGGCTC